ATGGACTGGCAAGGAGCTCTGCTAGGAAGACAGCAGAAGTGACAGGAATGCTGTCTTCCTCATAGCAGTCCCAACATCACTCCTGATATACCTAAGTTCACCTAGCACTTGGGCTTTCTCCAGGAAGAGTCCCTACCATACTCCCTGCTACTAGCCAGGCTGCCCCAACCTTGTCACTACCTCTCTCTGCTGCTACTATATGGAGAACAGGTCTAGTACCATGTCTTGAATGCTCAAGAGCCTGTGGCTGGACAACCCTCAGGAGTCTGAGCAAAGTGCCCAGTCCATGAAGCCGTGCATTTGGCACGGGTCCCACATTGCCTGGTGACAGAACTCTACTATATAGCACATTGGCAGTGGAGGGCTGATGGTTCTGCCTTGTACTGTAGTTCACAGCATCCCTGGCCTCTGCCTAGTAAATGCCGGCTTTCTTCTACCCTTTTGGGGTTCCCTAACACTGTATGTGTCTCCTGGGGGTAGTGCAGCCCCAAATGTGGGCCTGTCCTGGAGCTGAGGCCTGGTTAACACACAATTTTACCAGAGAAGCCTAAGAGCCAATTTTTCCTAGCTTCATTGTGACCTAAGGGAGGGATCTCTACAGAATCCAGCTCAAAATCCAGGACAAGAAAGCAACAAAGCCAAGGTCACCCTTTGCTGAATTCTGGATGTCGCTGTGCCCTCTAAGGAGGGGGGTACCCAGAAAGCACTTGGCAAGGACAAGGGACCAAGCTCCTATTTGAGCTCTTCAGTTAACTTTAGCTTGAAATGTGGGTTTGGGTAAGGATTCTATCCAAAAATGCCTGGTTATCTGGTCTGGGTGCTAAAATGTCTTCCTGTGGTCCTGCATCTGATTTGCTAAGAGCAGCAACCCACCCATCCCCACCCAGTCTTCCTCCAGCTGGCCCACTGGACATGTAGCCTACAGTCAGCCTTGGTGAGCACTAAGGAGGCCAGCTTATTTCACAGACCCAGCAGCTTCCCATTTGCACACTGTTGCAATCCCAGAGCTCATAAAAGAACCTTCCACAATCCCACCCCTGACTGTATATAAGGCAAAGCAAGCTCAGCCCATTATTCATGTGAAAAATAAATAGGAAGACTGTGCACCAGACACAGCCTTATGCAGTTCACACTATTAAGCCCACTGGTCTGCACATTATTCTGAAGAAATTAAAATGAGGACTACCAGAAGGTAAATAAAAGGCCTTTAGAGGCCAGCCCCTGTCTCAGGACACAACTTGATTGGCCCAGCAGTTAAGTGTGTAGGCAGGAACAGTGGGATACTCTGACGGGTACTTCCCACTCCAGGGGTGAAGCATAAACTGGCACCCTCAGGAAAAGATGTTCAAAAACCCAACCTCTACTTTGGTGAGCCATCGCAGGCTTCATGCTGCCTTCGACTGAGCATCCTGAGAGCAAATGGCACAATTCCTTAGTGAGGGTAGGACCTCAAAGTCCTACAGGCCAGTTGTAGGACAGGCTGTTATACAGCCCTGTCAACACCTCAGTGCCAGCTCACTATAGATGGCCTGCCTAGCTGATGGCTCCTTGTCAAGTATCCCATTCTCCTGTGACCCAATGTCCACCCTTCCACTGACACTGCCACACCCACTAGCTCCGACTCCTGGAAAGAACAAACAGCAGCAGAGTGCCAGGAGATGGCAGTGATCACCAAGGGTGTGATGCCTGAGAAAAACAGACTGACAGGTGAGGGAAGAGTGCTCCTACCTGGGGAGGCCACCCTGGAGCTCTGGGGTTCCTGAGGCCTTGTATCCCTTAGTTCACAGCCTCACCACTGCCTCCAAACAGACACTCCAGGCTGAGTCTATTCTACTGGCTGTTGTCCCTCCTACTGTTACGGACATTGTTTCAGTCAGGGTGTAGGTCACCGCCATGACTGTATTATATGATTACAAACTTCATTCTATTTATAGCTTTATGTGTTCTCAGTGCTAACATTCACAGGTTCCAGAGGGAGGGCCTGGGCATGTTTCATGTGCTAGGCATTGTTTTATCTCAGTCTGCTCATAGGCTACACTTAAACTTCCATCCCATAGGCAAAATACTCATCATACCCCACAGTCCTAACACATCACAGTATCAAGCCAGGCCTCAGACCTCATAAGCCTCAAACTACATTCACTAAGTCAAAGCAGGATGTTGTGTGTGATCTATCCTGGGAATAATCTTTCTACACCTGCAGGCCAACAAGACAAAGCCATGCACTCCCAGCCATAAGGACAAATAGGAAGCCATGGAGGGCATCCTCTATGGCTCAGGGGTCTAGCCCTGTGCCCTGCCCAGTTTGTAGGAAAAGCAATATCCACTACTTACTGCACTAGTTAGCTTCCCATCTGAGAACTTCCTGACTCAACAGCCTTTTGTTTCATCCCATCTCAGGGCTTCTGATGAGAGGCACTGTTCTCAAGAACTTCATTGGACTTCTGGGTCTATCATAGGGCTCACTCCCCAAGACAAACTTTGTCCACAAGTCCTTCACAAATAATCTTTGCTCTACTTTCAGCTTTTGGCCAGGAGGCTGACCAAAGGTGTTACTAACTGCGAGCCGGCCAGGCTAGCCTTTCTGCCTTGCAGAGGTCCAAACAGGACTGCCCAGGTTCATCTGGGCTCTATCTCTGGAGCATATTTTCCTGACAGTGAAACTTTAGTTCATTTGTCATTTGCATAGCTTCTGTGCTTCCCAGTTTTTGTTAGCTCCCTGCTGGGCTATAGGTCTTCTGTCTTCTTTCCCTCAGTATATACATTGGCAAAACCAGGCTTTGCCTTTCATGCTGTTTGGAAACCTCTGCCTGATGCTCAAGTTGCCTGCTTCCAAATCCTGTTTCCCACACAGCTGTCCAATAGCCCAGCTACCTTTCTGCCACATCTTATCTTTCATCTCCAGTGGCATGTCTTTATCCCGAGCCCTCACTAGCAGTGCTGCTCACATTTATATTTCTATTTGCGAACTAGTCACAGCAATTTGGAGCATTCTCAGGGATGGGCGTGGGTTTCCTTGGCTGCACCCTTTCCTTCACTTCCCAATCCTCACTAGGTAGGTAGCACCACTGATAGCCATACTTCTGCTACCGTTTAGGGACCTGTGGGCATTCCAAATGTTCCTTTCTATCAGCAGTCAGCCTTTTGTCCCTTGCCCCAGGTTGGTTCAGTTTGAACTGAGCTCAATTTCACCAAAGGTTGAATCCAAGGACTGCCCCTGTAAGGGGAGAAATACCACAGCAGGGACAAGGAGGCAGCAAGGAGCCATCCACATGGTGGAGAGCACACAGAACTGCTCTGTGCCTAAAAGCATGGGAGCTGAGCCCTAGCATACAGCCCAGCAGGTGGCTGCCCTCACTTCATGGATAGCCTTCCAAAGGCTGTGACATCATCGTTTGCTGGGAGGTCCAGCCACTCCTCCCAGCACACCACCACCACAAGGGAGAGGTGGAGGCAAACCACTCTTAGACTCTATCTCAGGCTCCACACAGTAGCCTCAGCTAGAAACCCATCTTCCTAGCAGCCAGCCATGGATTCTGTCTGCACTGGACACCCTCCCCTCCACTGGGTGGCCAGGGCTAAGGTAGCTTTGTTTCTCTGGGGAGCTCTAGTCCAGCTTCCTGACCAGGGAGCTGAGGAGAGGGAAGTCTCATGGAGCCAAGCTCCACTGTGTTCCTGCTGTCCCTTGCCCCCAGGAACCCCCACTGGCCCTTTCAGCCAGCTGAGGTCCAACCATAGGCTTCTTTAAGTCCTAGACAAACAGTTGAATGAGCACCCTGTGGTTTCCACTCCAGGGGTCTGTGCTGAGACAGATGTAGTGGGCAATACCCAGGGGGCAGAGGCTCAGATAGTCTGGTGGGACCAGACTAAGACAAAAGGCTTGGTCCAGGGAGGACTTTATGTTTTTTTGCTTGTTTGTTTTAAATAGGAGCTCCCTGTGTAGCCCTAGGCTGGCCTCAAACTTACAATCTTTCTGCCTCAGGCCTAGAAGACATCTAAGGAGAGGGAGTAGGACCAGGCTGAAGACTCCATGTAGCCTGGAACTTTCTGGTAATCAGCAGATGGGGCAGATGGCTGCTGAGAGTGTCAGGAGAGGGCAGGTAGGGTTGGTCTAGGTGTTAACAGGAGCTAAGTCCCCATAGTTAACACAAGAGCTTCCAGCCTCAAGTTCAGCCTCCCAGGGGCCACTGATGGTACAGTAAGTGAAGAGCCAGAACATCAAAACCCAGGGAGGACCCACAATTTAAAGGAAACCTGTACGGGCAGAGCATCCAAGGAGTCGTCAGCAGGCACGGCAAGGAGGCTGCCAGGATCCAAAGGCCTGAGTTTGTTGTCTGTGAGGACCAAACCATAACCATGCCTGTCTCATGGCCCCCTATCCCTTTTAGCCCACTTGGGCCCAGGGCCAGCTCTAGGCTTGAGCTTAGGCCCCACCCCCACGGAGGCAGCAGGTTGCCTCCTCCTAGACCCCCAGTGCTGAGCCTGAGCCAACTCTAAACAGATCTGAAGGCCTCCATCCCCACTCAAGGAGGTACAAGCTGAGAATAAGGTCAAGGTGCTTGCATTCTTCCCTTCCCAGGAGCCTTGGGGAGACTCAGAAGAACAACATGGAACAGCAGGCCAAGAGGACACAGGCGCTGACCTGAGAGAGTTCGTTTATTATGACTCAACAGATGAACTAAAGCAGGTTCTGCCTTTCACTGATAGCCCAGTTTCCACCCAGGGCCTCAGCCAGGTCCTGGTGCTGCCCTGGCCCCTATGCACAAATGGGACCTCCATGGGCACTGAGGAGGCAGCAAGAAGGGGTGACAGGAGCAAGCAGCAGGTGTGGGCCCCCATGGGTCACCCCAGGCCTCTCTATCCCAGGGACTC